TTATTTATTTATATCTCCGATAAGTTACAAATATGTACATATACATGAATCAAAATAAACAAACAAAAGGGAGCCTTCACAAAGGTTGCTCAGGAGAAGTCTCAGCAATCGGCAGAGCCCCAGAAAGAGGAGGCACTAGAGGTTGATTATTCGAAGCCTCAATACTAGGCAGAACCCCAGAAGGATGAGGCATCGAAAGTTGATCATTTGGAGCTTCATTACGCGGTACAATCTCAGAAGACGAAGGCAATAAATGTCTTTGGAACAAACCCACAAACCTATGATGATCAAGTAAAATATGACCATCAGATTCCTGCAGCTTGTCGAACTTCCTCTTCATGTTTGTAGCATAGTCATGTGCGAGCCTGTGCAACTGTTTATTCTCATGCTTGAGCCCTCTGATCTCCTGTTTGAGACTTATCACTTCAGCCACCAATGATTCAACTTGGCGGGTTCGAGCAACTAAGCGTTGGGTCATATGAGACACGGAACCTGCATACTGAACACTGAGAGCCAAAGAATCCTTAACAACCAACTCATCAGACCGTTTGGAAAGTAGTCTGTTATCTTTGGGAATGAGAATGTTCCTGGCCACCACCGTAGAGGTCATATCATTCTTCATCACAGAGTCCCCAACGGTAAGAGGACCAGTAGGGGATAAGAAGGATGGGCGCCATATGTTATCTTGAGAAGGCATGGCTGCCTCTTCACCAAAGTTCAAGTCAAAACGATGGTCGGATAGGCCAGACATTCTCAGAAATGATGAAGGAGAAATGAGGTGCAATAAATCTCTGAAGTAAGGGGAAAATTCCTACAAGCAATAACTCTCTGAATGTACTTCTTGCACACAATTGGTGCCCTTATAAAAGAAAAGGCAACAGAGCCGTTGGTTCAAAAATCGAAGAGGCACCACTTTCCACACGCAACATCAGCTCCTCAGGTACCACAAATACCTTTGCCAAAGATCTCTAACAAAGTTTAGACACATAAATTTTGAAGGTCCAGCTACCCTACTATTACCCACAAGGGTAAAAGAACAGCACCACTGCTTGATAACTAGAAAGACCTAATGTGTGTCAACCTCCGTGCTCCATGGTAAGGCAGACTGGCAAAAATGCCCAACCTTTACTTACATTCAAGAAAACACTCCCAACAGGATTACGTGCTCAAAAATTGAAAAGGCACCGCCCTCCGAATCTCGAGAGCCAGACTCCCAACAGGATTACTTTCTCAAAAATCGAAGAGACAATGCTCTTCGAATCTCAAGAGTCAGACTTTCAACAGGATTGTTTTCTTAAAAATCAAAGAGGCACTGTTATCTGAATCTCGAGAGCTAGATCCCGGACAAGATTGCTTGTTCGAAAACCGAAGAGGCACAGCTCTCCGAAACTTCGAGAGCCAGATTTCCTTGGATAAAGCTTGTCTGCAATCTTCACACACAACATCAGCTTTCCAGATACCATAGACCACTTTTTCAAAGTGCTCTGACAAAGTTAAAACATGTGAAGCTTGCAGCTCCCACTACATTACTATGACCAAGAAGGGTAAAGGAATAGCACTAATACTTGTTGTTAAGAAGACTCCTATATATGTCGACCTCCATCTTCCACAGCCAGGCAGACCTGCAAATAAAAAAAATGCTCAACTTTTCTTCGCATCCGAGAGGGCACTCTCAACAAAGTCTCTCGAAATACTCAGCTTCTTTTCTCCCGATAATACCTTTGCAAACAAGCTACACCAGAGCAAAAGTATCCCATATCATCAGGGTTAAAAGCAAGAGTATCCCATATCATGCTTTTTCCCTGTCTTTTCCTTTAGCCTTGTTCTTACCTGCAAGACAAGGAGAAAGAGAACAATCAGTCAGCACTTGGAATCAAGCTTCCAGTCAAGAACTGACTGCCTGGAACCCTTTGCCTGATTACTTATTTGGCATTGCTCTCGAGTACTCATCTTCAACATCTTATGCTTCCAGAGAATATACCACATCTGCCTGAGGAACAGATAGGGCAAGTGAGAAGGATACAAGGAAGCATGTGGAGACAAGCGTAACAGAACATATGTCGATACATCCACTACTTTGTCAACAGCAAAAGTATCCCATATCATCAGGGTCAAACGTACTCTAGATTTGATGGACTTGTTTTGACCCTCAAATTCTTGAGTCGGCCTTATACTCTGGAGGAAATTAGAAAACCCTCAAGCCCAGTTCAAGAATAAGCCTGTGGAAAGTTACTTTTTCAAAAGCTAAAGTATCTCATATCATCTCTTCTCCATTTGCTTCTCCTTATCCTTGTTGTTGTTTATGACACAAGGAGAAGGAGAACAATCAACCTGAAGCCGAAGTCGAACCTCTGATCCAGGTTGTTTGCTTGGAAGTCTGATTGCTTACCTTGTATGTTACCTCCTTCGGTAAATCTCTTAGCTCGGCGACTTGGGGGACTCCTACTATAGGGTTTGTATCGCGCTTGACCAAGCCCAAAATTACAAGTAAGCTTCAAGTGAAATTGATACATTACCTTGTGCATCTTCATCGGTTAAAGATACCACCCTTAGATGGAGGAAAAGTACTTCCAAAGAAGATGCCACATCTACATATGAGACAGATAAGGCAAGTGAAAATGATACCACATTTCGGTACTCAGAAGTTTCGTGATTACTCAATGGCTTGGATCTTGCAAGTCCCCAACCGAGGAACTTCCCTCACTCGAGAACTTAGGGGAGCACTGTTTGTACCATACTTGATCAATCTTGAAACTACTAAGCACCGGTCAACGTTACACCGTCAAAGACCTAAAAGAGTTTCCCTCTAACCAGGAGGCCAATCACAGCGCGACACGTGTCTACGTCAGAAGCCAATCACAACACGACACGAGTCAATGTTAGAATGAAACTAGAAACTCTCTTCTATAAATAGAGATCATTCTCTCACAATATTTCCGAATGTCATTTGTACTAAATCATTCACTTGTACTCAATAAAGGAGAGCTTTAACCTATGTACTTGTGTAAATCCTTCACAATTAATGAGAACTCCTCTACTCCGTGGACGTAGCCAATCTGGGTGAACCACGTACATCTTGTGTTTGCTTCCCTGTCTTTATCCATTTACATACTTATCCACACTAGTAACCGGAGTAATCTAACGAAGGTCATAAACTTAACACTTTCTGTCGTACGAAAGTCCTCACTGATTTTGTGCATCAACACATTTAAAGGCAGAATCATGCTTGTATGCACTCAAAACAAAACATTACCCATGAAATTCAAAGCCTTGTAGAATGGTGAACCAAGACTCAACTCAAAACAAAGTGAGTTGAGAAACTTTATACCTTTGAAACACCTATTTGCTTAGCAAAGGTTAATCACCCATGTGATGGCCTTCTTTCCTTTGTCACCTTACTCCTTGGCTCCATGGATGTGGATGGAGGAACTTTGCTTCTTGGCTCCATGCCTTCTTGGATGTGGATGGAAAAATTAGTTTCTCCAAAAGTCCCCAAAGTTTGAGACCTCTAAGTTCCAACACCAAGGATGGTTGAGGAAGAAGATGAGTAGCCATGGAAGTGTTAGATGCTAGTAAACTCTCCCATGGTGGCCGGCTATTCTAGAGAGAAAAGAGAAAGAGTTTTTCTCACTTTTCATCCTTAGAAAACCCTAATGAGGATGAAGCAAAGATACCCCTTCTATGCTTTCAACTTTTGTATGCATTTTGGACCAAAAGGCCCTTCCTCTCTCTATGGCCGGTTTTCCCAAGCCTTTGGGTTGTTTTAGGCTTCTTGAATTTTGTTTGTTAAGTTGTCATACAACTTAAGCTAATGGGCTTGACGATTCGAAGCCCAATTTGGACTTTAAGGTCCAAAACTAACTCAAGGTTTAAAACGAACTTATTCGTTTGATTAATTAACATATTAATTAATTCTTGCCATAAACAATTAAACCATTTAATTGTCCTTACTCATCTCTGTCAAATCCTTCGAGCATTACCTTATACGGTGTGCGATCCATTAGGTTCCTTTTAGCGAGGCAGTGGGCGATTAGAACTCTTTCAAATCGATTGTGAATTGAAACTTACTTTCAATTCTCCCTTTAGTGATTATACATGTTTAGGACTTCCACAAACCATGAGTGACACCTAGCACTATGTCATGGTTACCCAAGCTAATCAGAAGAGGTGGAGAACCTATTCAATTTAGGATTACAATGCAATACGGTCTTTCTCTAATACAATACTCTTGACCACATTGTTTGGTTTGATAGTTTATTCATGTCTACTATCCAATGTGATTCATTTACTTATATGATTACCTTGAATGTGATTTGGAACGACTTCCTAAATCTTATTCATACTCTGGCCAGAGATTCTTAATCATATCATAGAGTATTCTCCCTCAAACAGTTTGAAGGTTAAAGATCCCTTGTTGTGCATTCACTTGCCTCCATGGCTAAGTGGCTTAACCCCAACTATGTCGTGGACACCCTCGAATGGAGTGACTTTGACATAATCAAAGATCAAGGACCTAACCACAAGACAACTATGATGCCTCAGGTCAAATGACTACTTTGCATTATCCCAACCATGAGTTCTCATGTGACATGAGTATGAGAACTCCTTGTTGATCGTGTTCAGTGAACTCAGTCTCTATTGAGCACCTACGTACTTGTCTTGGTGTCAGTCACACCAATGACTCAAGACCAGTCACTTTCCCTAAGAGAAGACATAGCACCACCTGATCTTAACGGATTGTCAATGCCCAATTGGCAATCATATGATCAAGAACGTTTAGGATATGTATACGAAAAAGAATGGTCTCATGAATCTAACTTCTTTAGATCGCATTCTCCCAATTATATATTCCTTGGACTTATCATTTAAGCGTATCACATTTATATGAGACGGCTTCAAACAATAATCTTTGCCCTTTAAATTAAACTATATTAGTTTAACATGTGAAATGTCCGTAAAGTATCATCATATGATTGGTTTTAGGGCACATTTCCAACACCTTACACATATCTTAGCACTCTTTTAGCTGTCCCCATATGTATCTTGCTAGGATTCTGCATAAACCTAGAAAGTAGGCTTACTGAGAACATTAGATTCGTCCTTGTTGCAGTTAGGTACAATAGACAGCCAACAATGCTCTTGTAGAGAATTGCATCCATATATTCACTTCCATCATCATTCTTAAGCTTCTCATTTGCAATTAGGGGTGTAAAGACTAGTTTGCTTCCCTTTAAACCAAACTTTTCAAGCAATGTTTCAGCATACTTCTTTTGATGAATGAAGATGCTACTTGCTTCTTGAATTACCACAATCCCAAGGAAGTGATGCAAAAGGCCTAGGTCAGTCATCTCATACCTTTCCATCATTTCTTCCTTGAATTCTGCAATCATTGCATCATCATCTCCAGTGTAGACAACATCATCCACATAGATTGATACAATGAGTGTCTTATTGCTTTCTGTTTTTGGTGTAGAGTGTAGCTTCACTAAGACTTTTCTGAAATCCTTTCTCAGTGAAATAGGAATCAATGTCATTGTACCAAGCTCTTGGAGCTTGCTTTAGGCCATAGAGTGCCTTCCTTAGCTTGTACACCTTCTTTGGAAACTCTTGACTTGTGAACCCTTGAGGTTGTTCCACAAACACCTCATCCTCTAGCACTCCATTTAGAAATGCAGATTTCACATCCAATTGATGTAACTTTTAATCCATTTTGTCTATTAGGGCTATCAAAATCCTTATAATGTCTAACCTTGCTACTGGAGCAAAAGTCTCATTGAAGTCTACACCTGGTTTCTGTGAGTAACCTTTGGCCACCAACCTAGCCTTGTTCTTTTGCATAGAACCATGTAGGTTGAGCTTGGTTTTGTACACCCATTTCACTCTAATCACATGCTTGTCACTTGGTCGATTTACAAGTTCCCAAGTGTCATTTTTCTTTATCATTTCAAGCTTTTCCTTCATTGCTTTCTTCCAAGCTTTGTCTTTCTCAACTTCTTCATATGCTTCTGGTTCCACTACACAGTAATTACATGTAGCATATATCTCATCCAAGCTTCTTAACCTTACTAGAGTTGAGCTTGGTGTTGTGATATGTGATTGACTTGGTTGTGGACTCATGCTAGCTTGTTGTGGAGTCCCTTGTGTGTCACCATTCTATGTAATTTCTTCTTGAATTGAGATCTTCATAGGCGGCCTTGTTTGCCCATTGTTAAGGTCAAGTTGTAGAGAGACACTGTCTTTCTCTTCTACACTTGTTTCCCAATTCCATGTGGACCCCTCATCAAAGATAACATCCCTTGATAGGTTTATCTTTTGAGTTGACAGATTGTAAACCCTATACCTTTTCTAACTGGTACCATAACCCACAAAAACACCATTGTTGCTTGATTTCTCCAACTTGTGCCTTAGTTGTTGAGGAATGTGGGTATAGCACACTAAGCCAAACACTATCAGGTGCTTCACAGATGGCTTTCTTCCACTGAAAGCCTTAAATGGTGTCTTCTTGTCCAATGTCTTGGTAGGGCACCTATTCAATAGGTACACAGCAGTATTCACTGCCTCACCCCAAAATGTATAGGGCATGTTCTTCTCATGCATCATAGACTTAGCCATTTCGACTATAGTCATATTCTTCCTTTCTGCAATGCCATTTTGTTGTGGTGAATAAGCCACAGTGAGTTGCTTCACCAATCCACATCTTCACAGAATGCATTGAACTCAAGTGAGGTGTACTTACCTCCCCTATCACTTCTTAGTCTTTTGATTTGGTGCTCACTTTGCAATTCCACTATTGCCTTGAACTTCTTGAATATTGTGAACACTTTAGATTTGAACCTCATGAAATACACCCAACACATTCTTAAGTAATCATCAATAAAGGTTAGGAAATACCTGTTTCCACTGATTGTTGTTGTTTGCATTGGTCCACATATATCCGTGAATTAATTCGAGTGGCATTGTTGCCCTCCAAGTCTTTCAAGCTTCAAATGGATCTCTGTGATGCTCGCCAAACACACACCCTTCACAGGTTTCACTGCATTGATCCAACTTTGGTATGCCTTGTACCATTTCATGCTTTTGCAGATTTTATAAGCTTGTCATGTTAAGTGACCAAGCCTCTTGTGTCATAGCTTCAATGAGCCAGTCACACTTGCCTTTCTTGCCACTTCTTCAAGGTACTTCAACATAAGTGGAAAGCTTCTGTTTTTCACTTCCACTCTAGTCACTAGGTTTGATAGGGACTTGTCATCAAATATTTCGACCACAGTTCCCCCAAAGAGTAGAAAATAGCCATGTTTCATCATTTGACCAACACTAAGTAGGTTTTCATCCAATCTAGGCATTAACATCATCTCCTTTATGCATCTTCTTCCCTTCTTGGTGTTAATGACCAGAGTTCCTTTTCTAGTGGCTTTGACAATGTTTCCATCCCCTATTTTCACCTTTCCAATGAAGTTTGTGTTAATGTCAATGAGTAATGACTCATGTACAGTCATGTGATTGATGCAGCCACTGTCTATATACCATACTTCACAGTTTTTCTCCATTTTGGCACTGAAAGCACAAAACACATTTGCTTCTTCTTCCACTTGGTTTGCACAGTTCACTTGTTGCACATTTCTTGATCTGCAATCCTTCATAATGTGTCCAAACTTGTTGCATTTGTGGCATCTAGGCTTGTCCTTGAACCAACACTCCCCAAGATGGGATTTGTCACAGTGCTTGCATTGTTGTTTGGTTCTTGGACCTTCATTTGTGTTGCTGCCTTGGTTAGGTCTAGAGTTTTGGTACCCCTTTCCTTCCCATCTTTTGGATTTGCCCTTCCACTGTGATTTCTGCTTGTTTACATCAATTTGGCTACTAGATCCAACATTGAGTGATTGAAAAGCTTTCTCAGTGGCAAAATCAGCATGCCTTGTTCAAAAACTTCTCTCTGGATCCTCACATCTTGCACCACTTGTCTTAAGTTCTCAGTTGTTTTGGTTTCCTCACACGGACATCACTAACAATTCATAAGGTTTAGTCAATAATCATTTTTTAGACAACTCTCTCTTAATTCCACCATAAGTTTCATTTTGTTTACAACTCAAAGCTAAAATTGTCTTTCAACAACATTCCAAATTTTTGTGTCATCCTTTACCAAAAAATAAATTTCGCTCCTCTTATATACGAAAAATTACTCATATTATTTCCTTTCACTTCATTCAAGTGAAATGGTAGTTAATTACTCTAAGATAAAAATTGCTTAATGTATAATAAGATGGAGAATTAGTATGCAGTAAATTTGACTACCTAGTCTCTTATACTATTCTCTCATATCTATGAGGGTTGTGTTAACTCTCATGTTAATCTTTGCCTCGCGCTGAAGAACGCTACCAAAGCTACCCTTTCAAGCAAAACGATTTCTTCATATTGCACAATAACTCTTCTGGGAAATAGGTGGCTCCTTCTTCCGAAGAAACAAAAACTGACCCTCTGCGAGATGATTCCAATATCCAGATCTATGAAAGCACAACTTCGATTCATCCTAATTCTCTCTCACTCTCTCTTGCTACTCTGCTCTACTCGATGTTTTTGAGAATGGCTCTATCTCCTTACTGTTGAGCCATCGATTATATTACGCTTTTACTTTGACTAGTATATCAATACACCCTGCTCACTAGAGAATTGTGCATTTCAATCAATTATAACACAATAGTAGAAAAGTGGTTCACAATGTCCAGTGTAAGTTGTAAATTAATTTGGTCTGATACTATCCTCTTTCTTCCGATCTATAATAAGCTTCATTTAGCGTTATATTTTCACATCCGAATATTAGACTCTGATTGTACACGTCCCAGCTTTAGCTTATTAATGCCTTACTCTGTAGTGACAGACTCCTTCACCGATTTGCGAGAGTGCATATTGGCTATATTTGGCTGGCGCTTCTATGTTGATGGTAGTTGTTAGGCGTAGGACACTATGTGTCAGTAGCTCCAGTGCGAAGAGCTCCAACTCAATCATTTGTGCAAGTGAAGATAAATGACATTACTCCTCGAATAGATTAAAAAGAAAAAAGATTTGCTAAAAGTTCAGAACTACCTCGTACTCTAGACAGAGACCAGTGGTTAAAGTTTGATAGGTGTGTAGTTTACTTAGCAAGTAAACGATGCTCTCTTATAAGTACAATTGAGAATCGTTTGAAATGTCTAGGGTTTGTGGAGTCCATGGTATTGAATCTAGGACAAGTAGTTAATGGAGCTGTACATAGTGTAGATTTTACCCAAGGTTGTGCAGAAATGCACCAGCTAATAATCTTCATTATAAGGGGGAATGTTTTGTAGGGTCATGTGCATTGGCCAAGACCTAGTAATTTTCCTCTTTAAAAGTGAGTAGTGTCCTTACTATTATTTAGAGTACAGGGTGAGAAGAAAACTCATCACGAACTATCCTTACCCTCTACTCGGATTAAATCCCCATAAACCCATACATACAATTCTGGGGTTATCTATATAAAGCTCGCTATGCTGTAAGATCTGGGAGGCTAAACACTTCATCGCAACCTCACAAAATAACGCGTGAGCTTGGAAGAGCTCAGCCAGATATGCCGCAAGAGATTAATACCTTTTATATTCTTACTTCTTTACTTTTCTAATCGCTAGTTAAGCAATCCCAACATATGCTTATGGGACATTCACTTGACTGCCCTCCTCGTTGTGCTAAAGAATTCCGTCTCAGTGACATCCTATAAGTATGTTAGTTTCACGAGGATTCAGCCAACAGTTTGTGAAATCACATGAGACATGCTACCTAAGTTCCAAACTCTTCATATCATCACAAAATGCAGAACATCTTAGATCGATTATTATTTACTAACATATAGTTTAGCGATACTTAAATTTATCTTTATTTTGGAATGTTATACCTCAAAACTTTTGTATACTCCCATATGATAATGTAAGTGAGTATATAATTTTATATATATATATAATCAGTATAAAGACATGATAATCCAAACTTGACTCTTACAAATATAACATGACGTGCACCACAAATATATTCATTTTATTTTCCATTTATTCCCCCACTCATCTCTGCCCCACACTAATATAATCACCATAGAGTAACGCCAACCTAAAAATGTTTTTTGCGGAATAGAGATCAAGTATACCAAATAATACTCGCTCAAAGAATAAGCCCCCAATGAAACTTATTTGCCTGCAGCATAGCCGGACAACCCTGCGGTACTGCTCCGGTAGTCTTGTACGGCTGAAACCCCACAGTAGCTCCCCAAATCAAACCACACGATGTGGTAAACGTCCGCTTAGCCCCGAGCTCTCCAGTCCATCACTCTTAGATCGGGGCCTTATATACGGGCGGCTTAGCGACTACCATAACACTGGGATCAGGGGAAGTCTCGCAACACATCTAGATCAAGGAGGGTCTCAGTTGTTGATGCACAAATTTAGTTGGACCACTCATCATATCATATAAGATACACCTCAATGGCTCTTTTCTTTATGGTATATCTCATATCAAACAGCCGGCACGACTG